CCCCGGCTTCAGAGCGGTCGGGACCTAGCACTGTGCTTATCCCCGACCCTATGGCGGTAGTTCATGGTCCTCCGGCCAGCCACAGCCTAGCTGATCCCTCAACGCGACAGTCCCCGAGCCGTGAGGTATCACCACGTCGACCCGACGACACGGATTATGTGCGCTCGGTGAGTGCTCCTTTTAATTATTATTCGCTGTTATCTTACTGCCGAATGAGGCCTCTTAGTAATTGATAGGAAATTGGAATAAGGAGGGAACTTTACCTTGCAATTCCATCCGATAACGCACTGAGGTTGCAGGATGATCGCCCTACCAGATAGGATAAGGGAAGCCATGAGGCATCCGACATGAATCCAGGGAGTTTTGCAAGTAACTTTTTGCCGATGAGCGAGTTCCAAATTTCCCGGGTATACACTGCAAAGTGTTATTTATGACGACAGCTAATTTTTTTAATAAGTTATTGCATATGCATTTGTTAAAACGGTCTTCTGTTTCTCATATATCAGCAGTTAAAACTAACTAACTGTTATGAATTTGTTTCGTGACAATTTTTATAATTAGCCTTTTAATTTCCGCGCGTCGTGAGCGCCAAAAGCCGACGGTGCAGTAGGTTTCACTTTGACTTTGGACAGTTTTAGGCTGAAAACTGACATTAAATTGCCTGCTGGGGACTATCTATAATTACACAGACAGTTTTAATATGCCTGACTTACTCTCTGAGGAAATAAATGCGCAAACCAGAAGTAACTCCTTCGGAATAAACCTCTTCAAGATCGCTTCTTAAGATTATATCAATATTCGAGCTGAAATCCATCAGATACGGCGGTAAGACCACGTTATATTCACAAAGTGACAACTAGCAATGAGCAATATACTCTACGTAATTAGTTACCATAGTGAGAGTACAGGTAATGACTGAAAGCCCAGGCAGTCGTGTTTTGCTGCTGCGAAGGGTTCGGCTCATCGGTGGGTCGCTCAGCGTTCCAATGTACTTTTTCATTGAAAAGAATTAGAAGTTCTTAATGTACAGCTGCAGGAGCACAAATGACCTGTTTTTTGCGAGGAAGTATCGTATGCAACTTGCATATTGCACAGTAGTTCACAGGTTCAGTATGTCCAAGGGTGTTATATACCCGTTTATTCAAGAGTTAGATCCTACAGGCACCTACCAGTACTAAATGGAACCCAGAGGAAGAGTATTCGATCACTGGAACAAGAATTTTACTTTCCTGACGTTTCGGATTCTATCGAGAATCCATAATCATAGGTTACCGTAGAATGCGCAAATTTGGGTGATACATGCTCAGATTGCGTAGTATTTATAGTTCGTAGCAGCAATCCGCATGCGTAATATAAGTATCAGCTCCTGTAACCACCACTTGAAGTCGTAATTGATGCGGAGGTGGCTTGGCAGTTCGCTTTCGACTCACTAATTTCCACAATTTTGTTGTCCGTGTCGGATGCGGGCTTGGTAATTGCGCGAAAATTATGTTCGCTTTGGTCAGAGTAGTTGCTGGGCCCGGCCCTTCCCGCTTAACTGATTCTCCTGCTCAGGCAACGTCTCAGTGTGCAGTATGGGGACGGCAAATCATTATGCTTGCTGATTGACTATGGGCCTAATAATCATGACTCGAGCAGCTCGCGGCTCACGCGGTTGTCACCTCTTGCGAGGATTTCATGACTCTAGCAGCTCGCGGCTCACGCGGTTGTCCCCTCTTGCGAGGATTTCGGTTAAACTTTAAAATATGGTCGGGTCCCGTCGGCTGGGCTGCAAGCTGGGAGTTAGCGTCTTTCTTCCTCACCGCCGCTGTGTGCTTGGTAATTCGCGTCCGGAGTAATCTCCCGCTTTCTCAAACGTAGTTTCTTGTCTACAAC